GCTGCTGGAGACACTGAGGTTGGAGACCCTAGGACTGGAGGTGCCGGTTCTGGGGGTGCTGCTGCTGGAGCTGGTCCTAGAGGAGCTGGCGCTGAGGGTTCTAGAGTTGCTGGAGGTGCTGGAGCAGCTGGGGGTGCTGGAGTTGCTGGTGCTGGTGGCACTGCACAACGGTGCCTGTTCTTTGCTCCACCGTCTCCGTCGTCTCAGCCACCGCCTGACTCTGTGCTTCGCCAGGTTCGTAGTCTCCCTTCGTCTACTGGTCTTCCGTTACAGCCTGGCTCACCGCTGCTTGCTCCTTCTCTTTACACTGAGCAGACAGGGGGTCTTACTGAGCGTCGTGAGCCTGCGTCGCGTCCTATCTCGCCTGTCCGTTCTGGTCGTTCCGATCGTAGTGTTCCTCGTCATCGTCAGCCGGCTGTCCCCGGCACCCACCTCGTAGTCCGTCGTCCTTTCTCTCCTCCACAGCGTGTTCCTCTGCCGACTCCTCCTCCGTCTTCTCTACCTACCGTTCCAGAGCCTGCATCCGACCGCGCCCGTGCTGCTCACCCTACTATCACGCGTCTGCTAGTCACAGTTATCATTGACCCGTCGTTTGAGTCTGCTGCTGCGTCTGCCTTAGTCGTTGAGCTTGTTGACTTTGCTGCTGCCTGTCGTCTAGACTACGTCTGCGACTAGTCTTGTTGCTGAGTCTGGGTCTGTCTGTCCTCCGTCCGTCGAGGGTGAGTGTGCTCTTGGCACGGACGTCCTTGAGGACAGGTAGGAGGACCTTGAGTGTCTTGCAGCCGCTGCGCCTCATCTCGTGTCCATGCTGCTTGCCCCTGAGGGAGACCCGGATGCTCCAGACATCCCGACCCCGCGCTCTTACGCTGAGGCGATCGCGGGTGAGTACTCCTCTCAGGGGCAGACAGCCATGGACGCAGAGATGGCATCTCGGAAGTCCACAGGCACCTACGTCGACGAGGTTCCCTCTCCTGGGGCGAACATCGTCAGTGGCATGTGGATTTTCAGGGTGAAGCGGCCGCCAGGTTCTCCGCCTGTCTTCAAGGCTTGTTACGTTGCTCGAGGTTTCAGTCAGCGAGAGGGAGTTGACTTCTTCCAGAATTTCTCCCCCACCCCAAAGATGACCACTCTTCGGGTGCTGCTGCACATTGCCGCTCAGCGTGACTACGAGCTTCACTCTCTTGACTTCAGCACAGCTTTCTTACAGGGCAGCCTGCACGAGGAGATCTGGCTGCACCGCCCTCCTGGCTTCACTGGGTCGTTCCCTCCTGGTACCCAGTGGAGCCTCCGGCGGCGGGTCTACGGTCTTTGCCAGGCGCCACGTGAGTGGCACGACACAGTGAGGACGACTCTTGCTGCTCTTGGGTTTGCTCTGTCGACTGCTGACCCGTCGCTGTTTCTGCGCGCCGACACTTCGCTGCCGCCGTTCTACATCCTCGTGTATGTCGACGACTTGGTCTTTGCCATTGCTGACACAGAGGCTCTCGCCCTGGTGAAGTCCGAGCTACAGAAGAGACACACGTGCACAGACCTGGGTGAGCTGCGCAGTTACCTTGGCTTGCAGATCACCCGGGACAGAGCACGCCGCACCATTACCTTGACTCGGTCACACATGGTGCAACAGGTCCTTCAGCGTTTCGGCTTCACCTGGTCCTCGGCACAGGCCACTCCTCTGGTTACAGGTCACTCGCTCTCAGCTCCACCTTCGGACGAGTCCGTAGAGCCGAGTGGTCCTTACCCAGAGCTAGTGGGCTGCCTCATGTACCTGATGACCTGCACTCGTCCTGACCCTGCGTACCGTCTTGGCTTTCTGGCTCGCTACGTGGCTCCTGGTAGGCACCGAAAGGTGCACATGGATGCCGTTAAGAGGGTAATGCGCTACTTGTGCAGTACATCGGGCATGTGGCTCGTGCTTGGAGGACGGGGCGACGTTGTCGTCACTAGGCACTCGGACTCTTCTTGGGTTGACGACCTTGCTACGCAGCGGTCGTCACAGGGTTACACCTTCAGCCTTGGCTCTGGCTCTGTTTCTTGGTGGTGTACACGCTCGTCCTCTGTTCTCGGCTCCAGTTGTGAGGCTGAGATCTACGCCACAGCCATGGCTGCACAGGAGTTACGCTGGCTTACCTACCTGCTGAACGACCTGGGAGAGCGGCCTCGTTCTCCTCCAGTTCTGTACGTAGACAACAAGGCCGCCATTGCCCTGTGTCAGGAGCACAGACTGGAGCACAGAACAAAGCACATCGCTCTGCATTACTTCCTTGCTCGAGAGTTGCAGCAGCGTGGTCAGCTTCGTCTTGCTCACGTGGCCACTCGGGCCAACACTGCTGATATATTCACCAAGGCACTTCGGTCTGGTGATCATCAGCGTTTTTGTATTTTGTTAGGCCTTGTGCCCACGTTTCCTCACTTGCTGTAGACTTTTCTTGTACTGTGATCTATATATATATACCTGCATGCTTGCTCTGCTACTTTTCTTGTACTGTGATCTATATATATATACCTGCATGTTTGCTCTGCTAGGTAGAGATCACTGTGCTGTTGTTGTTGCATATATATCTATGCATGTGAACTGGCCTTGTGGCCGTTTGCTTGTGCAGAGTGTGAGTAGTGACGTTGTGATCCACCCTGAGGTTGCTTTGGTTCTTTTGACTGGTCTTGTGACCACTTGCTCTCCCCCACTTTGCCTATGGGGGTGTGTGAAAGTATATGCATGTTATATATGTGTAGGCTGTAGTGGGGTAGCTAACATGGGGTACAGTAAGTTTAGGGTTTCATACTTGTACCCATCTCTTTCATAGTTCATCCATTCCTGCTACTAGATTCTAACACAGGACGCCAGTAGGTAGTGCCAGCACTAGGGCCGGTCATGATCTGGTACTGGCAGGGGCCGACGTCGCGGCCACCGCGACGAGCCCCCAAGCTGGCTGGGCCGCTGCTGCACCCAACGCTACTCGAACCACCAGCCCCCCACGGCTGCTGAGGGCGCCACAACTGCTGAGGGCGGAGCTGCTGCTGAGGGCGCCACTGCAGCTGCAGGTGCCACTGCTGAAACTGCCGTTGTTGCTGTCCCTACTGCTTGAGAACCCTAGTGGACGCCATGATAAATGCCAGGAGCGTCAGGAGCTAGGGACGGCTGCAGTGAAACAACGAGAACAACTAGGAGCGCCAGGTGAAACTAGGCGAGGAGCGGCTGGAACACGGAGCAAACTAAGCTAGGAGCGAGGAGCGAAAACGACTGGAGCTAGGCACGGCTGGAGCTAGGAGTGGCTGGAGCTAGAACGGCTGGAGCTAGAGACAGTAAGTGCTGCTGTCGGCTGCCGCTAGTAGAGCCAATGGCAGTGGAAAGTACGTGCGACAGTTAGGGCTGCAGTACTGACGGCTGCGGTATATAGGGAACTGTGCAAGTCATCCGGCAAGCAGGAATGCGGGCGACAGTTGCAGTAGTCTAGGGGAAGGGCGACGCGAGGGCTAGGGGCAGGGCGCACGGGTGCGCACGGGCTAGGGGCAGTGCGCACGGACGACGTGATGGGCTGGGGTAGGGCGCATGGGCGACGTGACGGGCTGGGGCAGGGCGCACGGGCTACGCGACGGGCTAGGGCAGGGCGCACGGGCTACGCGACGGGTTAGGGCAGGGCGTACGGGCGACGCGACGGGATGGGGCAGGGGCCACGGGCGACGCGATGGGCTGGGGCGGAGGCGCGATACGGAGGGCGCGTAGGGGAGGGCTAGGCGCGGAGGCGCGGATGGCGCGTTACGGAGGGCGCGGAGGGCACGTTACGGAGGGCGCGGAGGTCGCAGAGGGCACGTTGCGGAGGGCGCGTTGCGGGAGGCTAGGGCGCGGAGGGTGCTAGGGCGCGGAGGGCGCTAGGGCACGTGACAGAGGGCGCGTAAGGCGCAGAGACGCTCTAGAGCGCGGAGGGCGCGAGGGCGCGGAGGGCGCTAGGGCGCGTGACGGGGGGCGCGTAAGGCACGGAGGCACTCTAGGGCGCGAGGTAGGCTAGGCTAGGCAAGGATGCTAAACCTACAAGTGTTGTACTCCCTAGTGCTACTCACTGTAGCCTAAGCACATATAACAACATTTGACACGTTTACAGGTTGAAAAATTTGTCAACCTTACAGCTTCCAAGATAGTACACATGCGGTTACGGTATGATTGGTGGTGGTTGTGCAATGTGCAAGAAGCCTGCCCAACCCTTGAAAAAACGTCTTATCTCAGAGATCTTACACTTTGGAAATGATGGCAGTTTCGGGGGTGGTGGTGCAAGAAGCTTGTTCAACAGTTGAAAAACTGTTGCGAGACTGTAAAAAATGGGCCTTTATCCATCTGTATGTTTACCAGAAGATCATTATAATACTGTAGATGGTGGTGCAAGAAGCCGGGTCAAGGCTGGCGGGGATGGCCCAAACACGTCTTCAGGCAGATAAAAGGGTAGGTTCAGCCTCTGATAGGAGAGAAGGTAGAGAACGCGGTAGAGGGCGCCACATCAGAGGGCGCCACATCAGAGGGCGCCACATCAGAGGGCGCCACATCAGAGGGCGCCACATTATGGGATTTGGGTGGGGGTACCGTGCAAAAACGAAGTTAGCGGGTGATGCATCAACCCCAATCACGAAGTGATTTAAAGGGGGAGAAAAGAAACAAGTTGAACAGTTTTTTCACCTGAGCAAACACCTGGTCGGAATCACTGTGGTCCTGAGGGCGACCAGCTGCATCCCCCACGAAGAATGAGCTGCGTGGGACGGGAGGCAGAGGAGGAAGGAAGGTGGCAGGGAGGGGCGGCAAACAGGGGAGACAAAGTGGAGTATTTTGAGTCAACTAGAATCACTGTGGTCCTTAGGGCGACCAGCTGCATCCCCCACGAAGAATGAGCTGGGGGGAGGAGACAGGCGAGGGAGGCAGAGAGGAGGTGAGTAGGGAAGGCACACAGGGGAGTAAAAAAGGAGTGTTTTTGAGTGGACTCAAATCACAGTGGTCTTGAAGGCTGCAGCAGCATCTCTCATGAAGAAGGAGCTGAAGGGAGGAAACAGCAGAGGGAGGCAGGTGGTGAGGAGGCAGGGGAGGCAGAGGGGAGTGCTGTGAGTGGACTCAAATCACAGTGGTCCTGAGGGAGACCAGATGCATCTCCCACGAAGAATGAGCTGCGGGGGACAAGAGGCAGAGGAGGGGGGCAGAGGAGGGGGGCAGAGGAGGGAAGCAGAGGAGGGAGGCAGAGGAGGGAGGCAGAAGAGGGAGGCAGAGGAGGGAAGCAGGAGGTGACGAGGCAGGGAGGGAGGCAGACATGGGAGGAGGCAGAGAGGAGTGTTGTGAGTGGACTGCAATCACTGTAATTTGGAGGGCTGCAGCAGCACCTCCTGCGAAGAATGAGCTGAGGGTAGGAGACAGTAGAGGGAGGCACACGGTGAGGAGGCATCAATCGGAGGCAGGCGGGGGAGGCAAGGAGGCGAGGAGTCGAGAATGCCACACACACTCACCTCTCCCCATCCACTCGTCTCCTTTCATTCCCACACACGCACAGCACTAAAACTGTCTCCTTTCATTCCCACACACGCACAGCACTAAAACTGTCTCCTTTCATTCCCACACACGCACAGCACTAAAACTGTCTCCTTTCATTCCCACACACGCACAGCACTAAAATTGTCTCCTTTCATTCCCACACACGCACAGCACTAAAACTGTCTCCTTTCATTCCCACACACGCACAGCACTAAAACTGTCTCCTTTCATCCCCACACACGCACAGCACTAAAACTGTCTCCTTTCATTCCCACACACGCACAGCACTAAAACTGCCTCCTTTCATTCCCACACACGCACAGCACTAAAACTGTCTCCTTTCATTCCCACACACGCATAGCACTAAAAATGTCTCCTTTCATTCCAAAACACTCACAGCACTAAAACTGTCTCCTTTCATTCCCACACACGCACAGCAGGTGACTGACCTGCCTTGTGGTTTGCAGAGAGGTGACAGAAGCCCCTCTAGTGACAGCAGAGCCATCACATGCCACAACAAACTCACTCACCTCTCCCATTCCAAGTGCTCTCTCTTCATTCCCACACGCGCACAGCAGGTGACTAAACAAACCCCCTTGTGGCAGGACCACCACCACATGCCACAACAAACTCGCTTACCTCTCCCCATCCACTGGCCTCTTTTCATTCCCGCATGCGCACAGGAGATGCCAGAGCCACTTTTCTTGTTTGAATTTTGAGAATTCTCAAAAGTCACAACGACGAGTGAAACCTCTGTTGCGGCAGAAACACCACCACATGCCAAAACCCACTCGCTCACCTCTCCCAATCCACGCGTCTCCCTTCATTCCCACACGCGCACAGCAGATGCCCCCCCCCCACCCCCCCTCCCCCTCATGTCACAACACACTCACTGCAACGTTCACTCATCTCTCCCAGTGCATCGTTACTCATGGTCAGGAAGGGCTGCAGTGCTAGAGAAGGCTTTTAGCGAGAAAAGAAAGAGAGTTAAAACCCTTGCTAAGAGAATCCTGAATGCAAAGACTGTTTCGACTCAATAGGAAAAAGGTCGCAAAAATGTTTCGGCGAGGCGGGAAGACCCGTCAAGCTTTCATCAGAGCTTCTGATCCAACTGAGATCTACAGCTACGTATGAGCAAAGTAACTAACCCAAACCGCGAACAGAAATCAAAGTTCCCAACTACCCAGATTGCCTAACAATGGGGCATTCGGCAACACAGCACAGGGTAAAAGCCCAAGGTTACAGGTGTCAGCCTTCCGTGGTGTCTTCGTCAGGGCTATCGATAAGCCTTGGTGTGTTTTGAGCATCGATAAGCCTTGGTGTGTTTTGAGCATCGATAAGCCTTGGTGTGTTTTGAGCATCGATAAGCCTTGGTGTGTTTTGAGCATCGATAAGCCTTGGTGTGTTTTGAGCATCGATAAGCCTTGGTGTGTTTTGAGCATTCTCAAAAAGCACGTCTTCGTCAAAAAGCACGTCTTCGTCAAAAAGCACGACTTCGTCAAAACGCACGTCTTCGTCAAAAAGCACGTCTTCGTCAAAAAGCACGTCTTCGTCAAAAAGCATGTCTTCGTCAAAAAGCACGTCTTCGTCAAAACGCACGTCTTCGTCAAAACGCACGTCTTCGTCAAAAAGCACGTCTTCGTCAAAAAGCACGTCTTCGTCAAAAAGCACGTCTTCGTCAAAAAGCACGTCTTCGTCAAAAAGCACGTCTTCGTCAAAAAGCACGTCTTCGTCAAAAAGCACGTCTTCGTCAAAAAGCACGTCTTCGTCAAAAAGCACGTCTTCGTCAAAAAGCACGTCTTCGTCAAAAAGCACGTATTCGTCAAAAAGCACGTCTTCGTCAAAAAGCACGTCTTCGTCAAAAAGCATGTCTTCGTAAAAAAAGCACGTCTTCGTCAAAAAGCACGTCTTCGTCAAAAAGCACGTCTTCGTCAAAAAGCACGTCTTCGTCAAAAAGCACGTCTTCGTCAAAAAGCACGTCTTCGTCAAAAAGCACGTCTTCGTAAAAAAGCACGTCTTCGTCAAAAAGCACGTCTTCGTCAAAAAGCACGTCTTCGTCAAAAAGCACGTCTTCGTCAAAAAGCACGTCTTCGTCAAAAAGCACGTCTTCGTCAAAAAGCACGTCTTCGTCAAAAAGCACGTCTTCGTCAAAAAGCACGTCTTCGTCAAAAAGCACGTCTTCGTCAAAAAGCACGTCTTCGTCAAAAAGCACGTCTTCGTCAAAAAGCACGTCTTCGTCAAAAAGCACGTCTTCGTCAAAAAGCACGTCTTCGTCAAAAAGCACGTCTTCGTCTAAAAGCACGTCTTCGTCAAAAAGCACGTCTTCGTCAAAAAGCACGTCTTCGTCAAAAAGCACGTCTTCGTCAAAAAGCACGTCTTCGTCAAAAAGCACGTCTTCGTCAAAAAGCACGTCTTCGTCAGGGCTATCGATAAGCGTTGGAACCTTTGCTCGCACAAGTAACTTTTATAAGTTAGGTGCACACCTCCATGCAATATAAACATTCCCCATATAAAAGCCGCGTGAACTGAGACGATTTTTGAGGCGCCTAAAATGTTTTCTCCCATTGCATGTGTTTCCTAATTCATTCCCACGTGCACAGCAGATGCAATAGCTCCCATTATGGTTTCCAGAGCGGTGACAGACCCCCCCCCCCTTCCCCCCTTTGTGGCACCAGCACCATCACATGCCACAACACCCTCACTCCCACCCTCACCTCTCCCATTCCACTTGTCTCTCTTCATTCCCACACTCGCACAGCAGATGCCACACCACGCCCACGTGCCACAACGCACTCACTGCCACACACTCACCTCTCCCATTCCACTTGTCTCTCTTCATTCCCACACTCGCACAGCAGATGCCACACCACGCCCACGTGCCACAACGCACTCACTGCCACACACTCACCTCTCCCATTCCACTTGTCTCTCTTCATTCCCACACTCGCACAGCAGATGCCACAGCCCCCCTTCTGGTTTCCGGAACAGGTCCCCTGAGTTGCTGCGACCGCAGGAGATGAAGATCTGACGAGACGAGGGGAAGGGATGAAAGGGGAAAGCGGAACAAAACAGGAGAGGGAAGGGGAAGTGAGTGATTGAGATGGTGTCAGGAACAGGTCCCCTGAGTTGCTGCGACCACAGGAGATGAAGATCTGGAGAAGCGGGGGAGATGGGGGGTAAGAAAGGAGAGAGGAGGGAAATGAAGCTTTCAAGTAGCCTCGTGGCACTTTCAACAGGTCCCCTGAGTTGCTGCGACCGCAGGAGATGAATATCTGACGAGACGAGGGGAAGGGAGAGGATGGAAGTGGGAAGGGGAAGTGAGTGACTGACTTGGACTCTTTATAGGGCGCCTGAGTAGCCTTATGGCACCTTCAACAGGTCTCCTGAGTTGCTGCGACCACAGGAGATGAGGGGAAAAAAAGGTTGAGGTGCGGAGAAGGAAAAACAGGGAGAGAACATAGGGAAAAAAAAAAAGAAAAAACATTTCAAGAGTAGCCATGTAGCTTTTGAAACGCCCCCCCTGCGTGGCTGCCCTCCTTATCTACATGCGCCATCTCTTGCAATCCCACCACAAGACCACACATACACCTACCTACCTGCATGGGCACGCCAGGCACCTCCCGCATGAAGCCATTCAGCCGGCCAATCTTGCTCTCAATGGCCTTGTGACGCTGCTTGGTGAAACCCCCTCTCTCAACTGACCTGTACCCATGCAAGCAGCCCTGCCACACACACACACACCTGCATGGGCACGCCCGGCACTGCACGCATGAGGCCATTCAACGGCCACCCGATCTTGCTCTCAATGGCCTTATGGCGCTGCTTGCTTGGTGAAGCTCCCCCTCTCTCAACTGGGCTGCAAGGGCACCTTACCAGATACTTTTGAGAATTCTCAAAAACTGACCTGCAAGGGCACCTTACCAGACACATGCCTACCTACCTGCATGGGCACCTTACCAGACACATGCCTACCTACCTGCATGGGCACGCCCGGCACTGCACACATGAAGCCATTCAGCCGCCCCATCTTGCTCTCGATGGCCTTATGGCGCTGCTTGCTTGGTGAAGCTCCCTCTATCAACTGACCTGCAAGGGTAACTTACCAGATCCATGCCTACCTACCTGCATGGGCACGCCCGGCACTGCACGCATGAACCCGTTCAGCCGCCCAATCTTGCTTTCAATGGCCTTGTGGCGCTGCTTGGTGAAGCGATCGATGTTTGACTCATTTGTGAAGATCACCTGGTGAGGGGGTGGGGGTGACGTGACGCATTGAGTTGACTCATTTCAAGATACTTGGGGTGACGCATTGAGTTGACTGATTTCAAGATACTTGGGGTGACGCATTGAGTTGACTGATTTCAAGACACTTGGGGTTCGGGCCACTCTTGAACGTGCTTGGTGAAGCGATCGATGTTTGACTCCTTGGTGAAGATCACCTGGTGAGAGTTGACAGGGGGGGGCAGGGTTTGGGTTTCGGGTTGAAGGGTCTAGACATTGTTCCTGTGCGCTCTGAACGGCCTTGTGGCGAGGATTGACAGGTGGGGGGGGGGGCGGCAGGGTTTCGGGTTTGGAGTTGAAGGGTCTAGACATTGTTCCTGTGCCGCGCGCTCTCAATGGCCTTGTGGCGCTGCTTGGGGAAGCGATCGATGTTTGATCTGTTGGTGAAGATGATCTGATGAGGGAAATAATTTGGCGGAGGGGTAAGAAGGAGGTGCAGCCTGCAGGCTTGACATGTAGGTTCACTTGTGAGTGTGCTTTTGAGAATTCTCAAAAGTACCATCAACGTGCTTGGGGAAGCGATCGATGTTAGACTCGTTGGTGAAGATCACCTGGTGAGGTGGTGGGGGTGACGCATTGAGTTGACTGATTTCAAGACACGCCCATGCAGGTGTCACACGCCCACGCCCATGACTGATTTCAAGACACTTGGGGTTCGGGCCGCTCTTGAACGTGCTTGGTGGGGTTCGGGCCGCTCTTGAACGTGCTTGGTGGGGTTGATGTGAAGGAGGTTGACACTGGAATTCCTCAATGAGTGTCAAATCACTTGGGGTCGCTCTTGAGAGTGCTTGGTGAAGTTGACCGAGTGAGGTCGAGTGATGTGGTGGTGGGGGGGTTGACATTGGGTTTGTTAATTCATTTCAAGTCACTTGGGGTTGCTCTTGAGTGTCGCCTTGGCATTTGCTCTTTCAAGTTTGAACGTCAGGAATGCGTGTTTGGGTTTGATGGTGTACTGGAAACGAAGTTGAACATTGAGCAAGCTAAAGGAAATCAGGACACGTGAAAAAACATATCTGAGCATGTTAGAAGCGTCTCAAAAGCGTTGTAAGTCTCACGATTTTGTAGCCCGCTTGGTGAAACTGCTGGAGAACGCTGGGAACTGTTTCAAACATGAGAGACCAGGCGTTGGGGCCCATTCTGCAGGTACCATAAAGGAAACAATGGGAAAGAGGGATATGACACGGGCAAGAGTGGTGGTGATGAGATGACTTGGCCCCAAACGCCTGGTTGGGGTTTAGGGTGTGACAGATGAGATGACCCCAAACAGCTGGTTGGGACAAGGGGGTTTGACAAAGGTGGAAATTGGGATGTGTGGTAGTGCCGAGAAGACTGGGGTTGTCAAGAGAACACATAAGAGACAAATCCACCCTTACCCCGTAACCTACTGTTTCTCAACACACATGCACACTTCCGTGTTTGATACCAAGTTCACTTCCGCAGCTCCCCCCCTCACCCCTGTAATCTCACATATGCACATTTGTGCTGACCAAGCAGCCGTCGAAATGATAGAGCACCATCCCCTTTTCACAGCAATCCCTTTCCATCTCCACGGACCACCTTATCCCCCCTCTCAACTCACATGCGCACGTTGGTGTTGACCAAGCAGCCGCCGAAGTCAAAGGCTGGAAGCCCCCTCCCCTCCTCCCCCCACACCACACCCAAGATCCGATCCACAGCACCCCATTATCCCCCGTCTCAACTCACATGCGCACATTGGTATTGACCAAGCAGCCGTCGAAATCAAACGCGGCGATTCGACTGGACGGCTTTAACTCAGGGCTCTGAACGGAAGGAGGGGCAGAGAGAGAGGGAAGAAGGATAAAATGGGATGGGATAGGATGGGAGGTGATGCATGAGAAAGATTTGGGTGATGAGGGCAGGGACAGGAAGGGAGAATGGAGTGTGATTTAGGCGAACGTTCGAGACTCAAAGGTTCTTCACCGAAAGAATAGGAGCCTTTTCACACACGTCTGAAGAGAATAAGGGGCACAAGGAAACAAGAAAAAAAAGTATATTCTTGAGGCGCCTCACAAGGAGCATAGCACACGGAGAATGGGAAGGCATGGCATAAATACCTGGTGAAGGATGACTGAGGCGAATCCGAACCAGCCAGGAGGCAGAGGAACGCCCTGCAAGGGAGGAGAGGATGGTGAGAGGGGACAAGGAAGCAAGTGTAGCAGGTTCTAGCTGTTTCCCTCTGTTTCACTGTGCGAACGGTGTGAGTGGGAACAGATTACCCAGACGAAAATATGTTTCAGACAGGATGAGACAAGAAAGAGTTTATTTTAACTGGAAACCTATGTTGTAAGAGAAAATACAATCACTCCTTAACAATTCGTATCAAAGGCTACAACCTTTCCAAATATAAATTTCACATAGTTAAGACTTCAAACCACCTGCAAGCTTCACATGCTGCTGCAGTAAGGGGTCCTCTGCAGTGCATGTGTGTGGGCTCCACGATTCCACATCTGTCCTTTTGGAATTCCACAAGTTCCACAAGAGCACCCCCTCCTTCTTTCCCCTCCCCACCACACCCCCTTCCACATCCACTGCTGCTCCTCTCCCCCCCACACCCCCTCCCTCTCCTTCCATCAAAATTCCCTGCTCATCATGCCTCCCGCACTCAAATTTGCCCCTTCCATCTAGCCGCTCGCACCCATCCCCTCCCACTTCCTCGCGCATCTTGCAACCCAACTACACCCACATCCCCTGCCCCTCTCCCAAACCTGCTCCTCTCCAAGTCTCTTTTTGTGGTGCCTCTCACAAGCCCCAAGCCCCTCGCAGCCTTATTCCCCGCATCCGTCTCATAAATTCCAACACCTCCACTCCAAGCCACCTCTTGCAAACGAACGCCCCTTTCTTCTTGCCTTTTTTACCACACACCTTTTCTTTTCCCCTTTTTACTTCTCTTTTTTGAAATTGGTCTAAGGCCCTAGGGTGGTATAATCCGGGTAATTGAGGTACCAAGGTTCAACCCGAACCAAAAGGTTCTACCACATTAAGCAAACCTTGAACCCCCCTACTTACCCTAATTCCTTGAAGCTATTAACCTGTTCAAGTTGAACAAAGTCAAACAAGTTCGGATTTGGTTCTTGCTCATGTTTAACTGTGCATACGATAATGTGCAGTTGGGAGTGAGAAATTTGGATGGGTTGGAAGGAGGTCAGTTTTTGTCGGGCGAACATTTGTGCACTGCAATGAGGAGGCTACTACTCCAGGGAGATGTGAGTGGGAGCACCAAGGGGAATTAGATGCTCATTTTTGAAAAGTTCGGCCCAACTACAACACAAGGTTTGCCACAAATGCGAACAGGTTCTCTTCGAATTGCCATTTCGTTTATAGTCACATTCAAAGTAGCATTGTGCTTTTGGGAAGTTCTTTTACAAAAACCTGTTTTGCGGGATACAGGGTTATGGGAGGTGTGGATACACACTCAAACCTCCCATGTGCAAGTAAGCGGGTGTGGAATGATTGAGTGATTCAGATACGCTCAGATCTGGCATTTCGTCGCCAAATCCCCATGTATCAGACATTTCGCCGCGCCGAATTGCGACCATCATGGTTGAAAAAGGTGGTGGGGTAGGATGCAATTCTAGACTTGGAATGTGAGAAATACTCTATGTTTTTACCCCTGAAATCGTTTTGTCGGGCAGTTTTCCTCTCTAGCAAACGGAAAACATGCACATTTTGTCAGATCACACAATGTTCAACGTTGTCATATATTTTGAGATACAGTGCATTCTTATGTTGAGTCGTTTTCAGAACTTCGCGTCACAAACGTTATTCGTGACTAACTATGATGCTCCAAAACCATGAACAATGACATTCCAGCCTTGGTTGTTCATAATTCAAGAACATCATAATTAATAACGAATAACGCTTGTGACGCGAATTTCTGAAGATGCGTCAACATAGGGATGCACCCTTAAACTGTTCGGGTTCAACGCAACGTGGGCGAACCAGAAAGATTCGGGCAAACAGTTCGGCCAAGCTTTTTCCGATCTGTTGCGAACATCGTTAGCTAAAAGAGGTTCGATTTGACAACAGTCAAACCTGTTCGAACGAACCGAACCCCGAAACCCTTGGCCAAATAGTTGTTCGGCGCGATGCTCATGTTTGTGTATGCGAAACCACTCTTCAAAGTCCACGAGGCTAAGGGTAAGAGTATAAATCAAGTAAACCTCAAAACTAAAAAAATTACGAGAGTCTTTTTTATCATATTGAATCAGGAAAAGGCTGAAATGACCGAGCACGTGCAGCTAAGGAACTTCGCACTACCTCCTAATCCTCCACGTACAGCTGCATTAATGATCGACATGCTAAAAACTGACAACCATATCTGAAAGGCCATTCATGCGCATAAAATCTCCAATGGTTCTTCGAGGCCGCCTCTTTCTCCTACTCCCCTAGCCCCAGAACTCCTCCCCCCTTCGTTCGGATCAGTCGACTGCCTCCTTCCCACAGTGATTTCTTTAACCATCTTACTAGTGCCTTCTTCGGCCACTCTCGATACATTGCTCTTCGTGCGCTTGCGAGCTGCTTTAAAGCCGGGCCATGTCGCGTTCGACTAGCCAACTAGACGGTATCATGCCCGGCTGCCCACATAGTGGGTTGCATGTGATGAGCAAGTTGTGGAACTGTGATAGGGCGCAAACGATTGACAAAAGGGAGGTTTGATTTGATCTTGTTGACCTAAAAAAGAAACAGCTGAAGGCTGAGCGAGAATAAGGCATGATCGCGCCAACA